ATTAAAAAAGCAACACAATTTTTCACTAGGTATCTTTTCCTCCAAATTAAAATTTGACTAATTAAATGAACTTTAACCTGCTGAATTTTGTAGTTTTAGAGAAAATAACATAGATGAGAGCAAGAAACAAATAAAAGAAGCAATCAGAAAAGGAACCCAAACAGCTGTGACTCTGTTTCTGTTTTGTAAAAAAGTTGCTTGTGCCATATTCTAGATTTCACATATAAGTGCTATCTTATGATATATATATCTTTCTCTGTCTGACTTCTCTCTTCTCTCAATATGAAAATCTTTGGGTCCATTAATAGACCTATGCTGCAAAAGACATTATCTCTCTGTCAGATAAATATATGGTTTATATATATATATACACGTTCCCTGGTAGCTCAGATGGTAAAAACTCTGTCTGCTCTGCAGGATATCCTAGTTCAATTCCTGGGTGGGAAGATCCCCTGGAGAAGGGAATGGCTACCCACTCCCATATTCTTACCTGGAGAATTCCATGGACAGAGGAGCCTGGCAGGCTACAGTCCATGGGGTCACAGAGAGTCAGACATGACTGAGTGACTAAGCACAGCATAATACATTTAAACTTTATTTCTCTCTGATTTATTTCCCCACACAGTTCCTGTTATCCCTTACTACATAAAATTGTATTTCAAACCTAAATAACTTGAAATAATGACCATTGATTCATTATCTTGTTTTTTTCTCATGTTAACTGAGGATACATGAAATATTCATGGAAAGATGGGTTAGACTGCAAGGTCTTTCCTAACTGCACAGGATGTAAATGACTAGCAAAATGGACTCAAATTCTTCTCTTCCCAGTCCATGTTATCTGAGAACTTGTCAAATCTGTTATTCAGATGATTTGTCAGACTTTCTGTACTGTAAGTCATGACTTTTACACACTGCCTTCTTCAAGGCTTGACTTAGAAGTGACTTACAATATTTCTGACAATTTTTGTTCATCAAAGCAGTTAGAATATGGCAAAAAATTTTAAAAAAGGTAAAGAGGTACTGTATCTCTGAGGAAAATATGGGAAAAGTGTACAATTTGCTTTATTTTCCCCAAACTATCAATGAGCTCATTGTAGAACTCTTTTAATTTCTAAGTGCTGATTTGGTTATTAATGATTTTTAATGTTATTGTTATTAAATCTGTGAGTAGGTGTGCAGTCTCTTCTGAATTTTGTTGTGCATACATGTACACAAAGTGCCTTTATGAAGCATTTCTGAAACAACACACATATAGAGGTAGAGTGACTGACATTTTGGTCATTCAGGTCATTGTGAAGAGAACTAGTTCTGGGATGCTGGGAAACAGCCCAGTCATATCAGAGATACCAAGATGTTAGATCAAATTTTAGATTCTTTACCATCTGAGTCCCCAGGGAACACATTATTTTAGGAATAAAGTGGAACTCTGATTATTTAGAAAAAAATTTCATACCTGTGTAATTTTCTAAATGGGTCATCTTTGCACATATGAGCCATATCTATATTAAAATCCCCCAACCAGCTATATTTTATTTATTTTATATCACTTTGATAACAAGAAATACTTAATAATAAGTGTTTAGAAAGCCCTACTTTTCATCTTCTTGTACCAGGGAGCTTAGGAAATGCAAAATAAGCATTGATCATATCTCTGAGGCCTTAATTGTAGTAGAGAAATTCTCAAATGAACAAAATAAACATAACTCAAAAAAGAGTGCACAATTTAGAGAATGTGAGAGAGTCACAAAATCAATGAAATATCCTTGGATGATATGTGTTTGGAGGATGGGAATAAGATGATAATTGGTGATGAGGGCTGCCTTGAAAGTTAAGATCCAGAGGGATCGGGTGGAGAGGGAGGTGGGAGGGGGTATCGGGATGGGAAATACATGTAAATCCATGGCTGATTCATGTCAATGTACGGCAAAACCACTACAATATTGTAAAGTAATTAACCTCCAACTAATAAAAATAAATGGAAAACAAAAAAAAAAAGAGAGTTAGCATTGGAAGGAATGTTCATAGTGTCATAGTGTTCATAACTAAATAGAAATAACCCAATGATCATCTAACTGAACAATGGGTCAATAAAATGTGTTATAGCCTGAAAATGAATTATTATTCTGTCACTTAATGAAACAAACTTATATGTTCAAGAACATAGATGAACATTGAAAACAGTACACTGAAGAAAAGAAGCCTGACAGAATAAAAACACATAGCACATGATTCTGTTTATACACTAGGCCAAGAATAGGAAACCATGCCATATCAGAAAGGAGTGGTTTCCAGGGCTCAGGGAGGAAAGAATGGGGAATGACAGCTAATAAGCTTGTGTTTCTTATTGGAGTGATGAAAATATTCTGAAGTAGATAGTGGTATCTACTTAAGTGATAACTGAACAATCTTGAAAATATACTAAAAGCTAAAGAACAGTATACATTAAAAGGATGAACTTTATTTTACATGCATTATAATTTAATAAAAAAAGTAATGCAAAGTGTAATACTGCTCCAAAATGAGATAGTAAAGGATAGTGTTTCAGAAGCAAAACAAACAATCAAAAGGAGCTGGAAATGATGCAGGGAGAATATTTTTCAGTTTTATTAGGTTTGCTCTTTGACTAGAGAAGGAGATAGTTTCAGGCTAACTGTGAGGCACACCACAAAGACAATTTGCAGTTTTCATTCTACCATGAATCAATTTGCTGACAATAGTGAAGCAAAAAAGCTTAGCCTTTGCTGAATTGTCCCTGAATGCATGTGGTAATATACAGAAGCAGAAATGTAGTTAAGGAAGTATTTGAATAACATCAAAGCCAAAGGACAGTAGCACAGGGATTTAAATCCCAATGAATCTAGTTAAATAAAAAACCATCTGCCTATTGTTCAGCTAACCAATACCTGCTTGTTTCAGGTAAGTTCCTAGATCCTATCTTAAGAAATGTAAGAGAAAATACTTAACTTTTTGATAAAAAAAGAAAACATATGTAAATGAAACATTTTATGCTTGGTTACTCATTAAAATCTGCATCTAATGGCTAGAAATAGTGTTTTCTTCTCATAATTGAAAGGATCTGTCTGAGCTTGTTAATATCCACAATATAACATTTTATCTTATTTTACTGTTGGTTTACACAAAAGCCTTTACTCCCTATAGCATTGGGCAATATATATATGAACTTAAGACAAGTTTTGTTGTATTGAAAAATAGTGTAGGTGCCACAATAAAAATAAAAATATGTACAAATGTATCCCCATGTGAACACATGCCATATTAACTTAGGTCTAAAGACAAAGTCCATAACTTATACTCTTTCTCCATACACCTAAATATATACATATGCTCATACATAAATACAAATGTATAACAGAGAGAGAACTGTATGTATTTTAGAAATATGTATCGTCCCTAATCTCATTCCCATTTTGTTTTATAAAAAGCCATTTAGAATCTAAAGTGACACGAATATGTGTGGTAAATCCTGTTGCAATGACAGACCTAGACAGAGTGTTAAAAAGCAAACTCATCACTTTGCTGACAAAGGTCTGTATAGTCAAAGTTATGGTTTTTCCAGCAGTCACATACGGTTGTCCAATCTGGACCATAAAGAAGGCAAAGTGCCAAAGAATTGATGCTTTTGAACTGTGGTGTTGGAGAAGACTGTTGAAAGCCTCTTGGACAGCAAGGAGATCAAACCAGTCAGTCTTAAAGGAAATCAACCCTGAATACACACTGGAAGGACTGTTGTTGAAGCTGAAGCTCCAATACTTTGGCCACCTGATGCGAACAGACAACTCATGGAGAAAAACCCTGATGTTGGCAGAGATTGAAGGCAGAAGGAGAAGAGGGCAATAGGGGATGAGATGGTTGGACGGCATCCTGAACACGTGTTTAAGCAAACTCCAGGAGATGGTGAGGGACAGGGAAGCGTGGCTTGCTGCAGTCCATAGGATCGTGAAGAGTCAGACATGATGTGGCAACTAATCAATGAACAACATTGTCCCTCCTATCATTTCCATTTTATTATATAAAAAAGACATTTAGAATCTAAAGTGATGCAAATGTATGTGATTAATTTTGTTGCTTTCACTTCCTCTTAGCTCTTTTTTCCCACTGATAAAAAAATGCATCCCTTGACAACAACCACACCAGAAAGAGATAATGAGCATTGTGGGAAAGCAATAACAAATTTCTAGAAAACAAGTCAGTAATGATTATTTCATGTCTCACCAAAGACTAAACACAACATGAATTAAAATAAGTAACATAATTTTTTTTGTTGCTGTTGTTATTACTAGTCATTGATACACTCACCATGTAGGGAACTAAGTCAAAAACTCTTTAACCAATCATGCTTTTTTGAGAAACACAAAAATTGTAATCTTATGTTTTTTACTCAAGTGAATATTTTCAAGCATTTAAAATACTTAATCCAAAGTGTTAGAGACTAGTCTCTCTATCACTGGAGTCTCTTTCATATGGTTTTCAAGAGGTGAATAAAAGGTGTACTACTCCAGATCTACTCTCTGAGGTTAAAAAAAGAAAAAGTAAGGCTCAGAAAAGAGGTGGTAGAAAGTGACAAACCCTGTGGATAGCATCTACACTTATATCAATCTTTCAAAAAGGTTTTTCTCAAATTCATTTTATTCTTTCAGAATAGAGGGCTATGCCTCCTTAACTTGTGTGCATGACTGGATATTTTTCTGAATATAAAAACAGAATAGCCAAATAAAAATAAAACATGTTCTGCCTTATGATTTTTCACAGATGTGTAGAAGTGTTACACATGAATGTGCCGTTTATTTTTTTGATCAATTTCTCAAGAGTTTGATACAAGATCTAAAAAGAATGGAAGGAGAGAATTGCTCCTCTGTGACTGAATTCATTTTCTTGGGAATTACTAATAACACTGTGCACAAAGTGACCATATTTACCATGGTTCTCCTTGTTTATCTCATCAATCTTCTGGCAAACCTTGGAATAACCCTGATTAGGATGGACCCCCAGCTGCACACACCCATGTACTTTTTCCTCAGCCATCTCTCCTTCTGTGACCTCTGCTATTCCACAGCCATTGGCCCCAAGATGCTAGTGGACCTATTTGCCAAGAACAAGTCAATCTCTATCCATGGTTGTGCCCTGCAATTCTTGGTCTTCTGTATCTTTGCAGATTGTGAGTGTCTCCTGGTGGCAGTGATGGCCTATGACCGGTACAAGGCCATCAGCAGCCCCTTGCTCTATGCGGTCAGCATGTCCAGCAGGGTGTGCTCCCTGCTCATGGCTGGGGTTTACCTGGTGGGAGTGGCAGATGCTCTGATACACACGACATTAGCCTTCCGCTTATGTTTCTGTGGGTCAAATGAGATTAACCACTTTTTTTGTGATGTTCCTCCTCTCCTGTTGATATCTTGCTCAGACACACAGGTCAATGAGTTAGTGATATTCACGATTTTTGTCTTCATTGAACTGAGTACCATTTCAGGAGTCTTTGTCTCTTATTGTTATATCATCCTATCAGTTTTGAAGATCCACTCTCCTGAGGGGAAATTCAAAGCTTTCTCTATCTGCACCTCCCACCTAACTGTTGTGGCAATTTTCCAGGGAACTATGCTCTTTATGTATTTCACACCAAGTTCTTCCTATTATCTAGATCAAGACAAAATGACCTCGCTGTTTTACACCCTTGTGATTCCCATGTTAAACCCTCTGATTTACAGTCTACGAAACAAGGATGTGAAAGAGGCCCTAGAAAAATTGAAAAATAAATGGCTTTAAATATTTATGTTATGCACATGTGAATAAACATGCATCCACACACATATAGTGACAAATGATTTATTAAAATTATATAGTAGAATACATGACAAATATAATTTTTCAATTTCTTAAGGTAGTATTACACTAAATCTCAATCTTAAATCTATTATTGTTTCTCTCATTTGTCATGTTTAATTATTTTTCCAGAATTTGTACATGGCATTTAGTTTAAATGAAAAACATTTCTGACTTTTCCATTATGCAAATTTTGTTTAGTTTTTATTCAAACATTGTTTCAATTATGCTGAGACTTACTGTGCATTTACTCAGTGATCTTTAAACATGTAGATTCTTTATATACTATAGTGCATCTTGCAGTTTAAATACTACTAACTATAAGCTAAAACAAATAATATATTAATTAACTGGTCAAGTAACTCCTTATAACTTCAAATTCACCATGAGATAATACATACAGGGCTATAATTCCAAAGCAAAAATATCTAAATCCAGTCCAAAATAAAATCATCTTTGAATGGAGATATTCAGTCAAATCTAAATAAGCCTCAATTTAAGAGATGAAAGGATAGTAGATAGAGGATTTGACAGTTATTCAGGTTTTGAAATATACAAGTCCATATTTGTTAGAAGAAGTCATATTTGCTATAACATGGAAGAACCGTGAAGGCAACATACTGAGTGAAATAATCCATACAGAGGAAGATAGGTACTGCATGACCTCACATCTAGATAGAGTCTAAAAGGTAAAACTCAGGAATTCCCTGGCAGTACAGTGAACAGGACTTGGTGCTTTCAATGCCCAGGCCTGAGTTTGACCCCTGGTCAGGGAACTAAGATCCTTGCAAACCTTGAGGTGCAGCCTAAGTAAAAAATAAATTTCATAGAAGTAGAGAATAGATTGGTTGTTGCTAGGAGCTGAAAGACAAGAGAAAAGGGTGATGTTGGTCAAGGTGCACAAATTTTCTATTATTTATTGAACAAGTTTAGGGAATTTAATCTACATGATACTCCAGTTAACAATACTGTAGTATAAACTTGAAATTTGCTAAAAGAGTAGATTTTAACTGTCCTCACCATACACACACTCAAAATGGTAACTATGTGAGGTTATGCATGTATTAATTAACCTTACTGTGATAATCATTTCACAAAGTATACATATATCACTTCATCACATTGTATACCTTATAACTATATGTGGTATCTATCAATTACATTTGAAGTAGCTATGTTAAAAATGAGAAGGAAAGAAGTCTAAATATTATATTATAAAGCCCTATGGAAAGTATAGAAAGTGACTTGTTAAAATACAATATTGTGTTTTTGTTATCAACTATCAATTCTTCTGCACTTCTCCCAAGATACTTTTCCTTCCTTCATTCTCAGCCCTAAGTGCCCCTTTTTTGTCTCTTTGTGGTTCACAAACAACCACTTACCTAAAGCATTGTTTTATATCACACTGTTTGTGCTCATTCTTTGGTAAAGAACAACGCATTCCATCCTTGTTAACCAAAGAACTGAAAGTTGCCTGAAGCATAAAATAAGCAAATATATATTAACCTAAAAAAACTAAACAACCTTTTTTGGCTGTTACTTATATCTCAGAAACATAAAATTAACTGACAGTTTTCTACGTGCCATATATATATATATCACAATATGCAGGTGGATTCTTTACCAGCTGAGCCCCCAGGGAAGCCCTATATATCACAATGTACTATAACTATTGTATGCATATAACAACAGCTTTGGGAAGGTGCAGAAGTGACTGTGGGAAAAAAATTGCAGACTTTTATAAAGACATACATATTTATTAATTGAATTAGATATAAGCCACTATAAGTTCTTGATATTTGATGCTTCATATACCTTGAATCTGTTTCCTGAAGGCTAAAGCACAGAAAGTGAGGATACAAACATATATTTGAAATACCATAAAGTACTGAAGAACACTTCTTATTTATCCATTAAAAGTGTAAGGTTAAAAGACCTCTGATAGTCTTAAATTTTCTAGATGTCATTGTAAAATATCCTTATGTGAAAATATTTCAGAATGGAAAAATAAAGCCTACAAAATTCTTTTGTTATTCAGAGTGGTATTTGTGAAATACTGTAACATGTTTAAAAGAGTTTTCATGGTGGAAAAACCTTAGAATAATTGTATAATAAAAAATGTTGAAATTTTCTACTCCTGGTATATTTTATCAACTCAGCCAAATGTCTTTTGAATTGTTGCTTATGAGGAGAAACATGGCAGAAAAAGTTGACTGGAATATATTAAAGTCAAGCAAAATAGGGAGTTGATGGATTGCCATTAATTAAGAGTTAATGAACACATTAACCATTCTTCATGCTTATTATATGTATTTATTTCAGCAACTAAATGTTGCATTGCAAATTTTGGCTCATTTTATTAGATCTAGTGGGAATGATGTAAAGAGAAGGGAATTTTAAGCTCATTAAATGGAATTCCAAAAATAGTACTGATTTAGATGAAAAATTTCTATGTGTATATTACAGTCTAAAATGACATTCCATAAACACAGTACCTTCACTAAGAGATTGTAGGAAAGTATTGATTTTTATTTTTAATTCTAAAAGTCTCTTGTAAAGGGTTTATTATATGTTTACATAATAGATATAGTGCATACTTTCTAGAGTATTGAAAGGTTGTTGCTGAACGATAAGACACCAGGATTCTTGGCCTCCGGAGGAGATGAATTCAATCTGGCGCCAGAGATGAGGCTGGATCGCTCAGAGCTTTTGTGTAATAAAGTTTTAATAAAGTATAAAGGAGATAGAGAAATCTTCTGACATAGGCATCAGAAGGGGGCAGAAAGAGTACCCCCCCTGCTGTAAATTATATAGTCACTCACAGTCTGTTAATGAAAAGAAAGGAATGTCTTAGAATTTAGAATGGCACCAGATAATTCATCCCTGGCCATAAAACTATTGACTTGAATCTTGTAGAAGGGCAGATTACCAACAAATAGTTTCATTTACATAGATTAGGGAACAATATCTGAGTATGTAGTTTAGGTTGTTTGGTGGAACCAACTTGAAGATAGAGTCTGGGGTACATTAACATAGCTTAAGACAACATTTCCATAAGAAAAAGGAATATATTGGTTAACTCAAGGTTTGAGAGTAGTTAGCTTCAGGTGAAACCAGGTGTCATGGCAACACAGCATTTTAAGAGAAACCTCGTTTTAAATGGGTATAGAGCTGTTCTCTTGAAACATCCCACCCTCGCCTTCTCCCACAGAGTCCACAAGTCTGTTCTATACATCTGAGTCTCTTTTTCTGCTTTGCATATAGGGTTATCATTACCATCTTTCTAAATTCCATATATATGTGTTAGTATACTGTAATGGTCTTCATCTTTCTGGCTTACTTCGCTCTGTATAATGGGCTCCAGTTTCATCCATCTCATTAGAACTGATTCAAATGAATTCTTTTTAATGGCTGAGTAATATTCCATGGTGTAAATGTACCACAGCTTCCTCATCCATTCGTCTGCTGATGGGCATCTAGGTTGCTTCCATGTCCTGGCTATTATAAACAGTGCTGCGATGAACATTGGGGTGCTGGTGTCTCTTTCAGATCTGGTTTCCTCGGTGTGTATGCCCAGAAGTGGGATTGCTGGGTCATATGGCAGTTCTATTTCCAGGTTTTTAAGAAATCTCCACACTGTTTTCCATAGTGGCTGTACTAATTTGCACTCCCACCAACAGTGTAAGAGGGTTCCCTTTTCTCCACACCCTCTCCAGCATTTATTGCTTGTAGACTTTTGGATAGCAGCCATCCTGACTGGCGTGTAATGGTACCTCATTGTGGTTTTGATTTGCATTTCTCTGATAATGAATGATGTTGAGCATCTTTTCATGTATATTATCTAGGGTGAAACAGATCACCAGCCCAGGTTGATGCATGAGACAAGTGCTCGGGCTGGTGCACTGGGAAGACCCAGAGGGATCGGGGAGAGAGGGAGGTGGGAGGGAGGATCGGGATGGGGAATACGTGTAAATCCATGGCTAATTCATTTCAATGTATGACAAAAACCACTGCAATGTTGTAAAGTAATTAGCCTCCAACTAATAAAAATAAATGGAAAAAAAATGTGTATAGAGAAGGAAAAAATATATCACTGGTTTGTTTCCTCCTGCCAGTTAAGAGAGATAAAAATGTCTGGCACGTGCAGCCTATTTCCTCCGTTTGGAGACCCCTGGCCTTCCTGCCTGTTCTCTCAGTATCTCAGTACCTTATTAATCTTTACGTTACTAAAAGTGCCACCTTGCCTGTAGAACAACACTGTATTTATCCACCCACTGGATCTCCCCTCATTTTCACAGAACCTGTGAGCTATAAAATACTTCAGTTCCATACCATGTAATGAACTCCATGTCATAATAGGTTTGAAGAAGAGACAACTGTATTTTGAAGAAGATCGTCTGGGTAGTATGGTCTGCCTAAAATTGTTTTAGTGTCTGAAAAGCACCAGGAAAACTCTAAATATAGAGCCTTTCTCTCACTTGCTTATATCTGAGGAATACACTTTCTCTTTAAGAGATGTTTTACAGTTATTTAAGATCTCCGTTTTTAATGAAACAAAATCCCCATTGAAAGATTCCCCCCCCCCCGCCCTTAGGTTACCCAGCTTGCAATAACAATGTAGTTACCCACGCTCAGTTAAATTGTTAGGTGGGGGAATATTGAAAGGATGTTAATCTACATGTGTTTGAGGAGCAGTCCTGTTAAAAAGGTAAAGCTGGGTTCTGGCTGAACAAACTAGTTGTTGTAACAAATAGTTGCATCCCAGAAGACAGGGATTCCAGAGGTAAACATTAACTTGGATTGGAGTATAATTAGAGCTTCCTCGGTGGCTCAGACATTAAACAATGTAGTTACCCACGCTCAGTTAAATTGTTAGGTGGGGGAATATTGAAAGGATGTTAATCTACATGTGTTTGAGGAGCAGTCCTGTTAAAAAGGTAAAG